ACCCATACCCACTGTAGACCTCGGTGTAGGTCTGCTGATTGAGTCTTGGTACAGGGTTTGAATGAAATGTGTACCCTTTCATTTCGGAGTGGTGGTCCTCAGTGAATTAAGTTTTTGGTAAAGGATTCTCCCTTGTTTCATATTTAGTACCCATGTTGACCAGTGCCCTGGCAAAATGAATGTTAATATTAATAATCATGGCAGGCCACAAACAAAATCTGTCAGTATCACTAAACAGTCATGCTTTCTGTGCCCCTTATGCTCTGTTTACAGTTCTAGTAATTAAGTATCTCAGAGCTCAGTTAGAGAATTAACATCTGAGTTTATTAATGATAACAATTACGGATATGAAATTTTATAAGGTACCATTTACATAATACAAATAAGGAAATTAATTACAAACCTGGAGAAGGAGAGGGTTCTGGCCTGTCAGTTAAGTCTGAGGCAACAGCATTAGCACTGGGGAAACTTTTCTTTTCTTTGAGCAAAGGCTTTGACCTACCAGGTATCGGAGGTAGGAGGACTATACCTTGGGGATCTATTAGATGTGTGCCTAAACATAGCTATTTTTCATTTGAGTCATAGGCTAAGTAGAAAGCTAGTACATGATACATATAAAACCCTTTGCCTTTTACACATCTGTATATTAGCTCACCTAAGATTCATAACCACACGACGGGAGGTCAGATTTTACTGTTGAGAGATAAAGTGCACAAATAAGTGGATACCTCTGAAAAATGATGTTTTACTTCATAGGGGCCCAGTAGTGGCAGGTCTTCTAGATCTATCAGGTCACAGAAGTGCTCTCAAGTGTGATACCTATAACTTGAGTATGAATATATACTCTACTTTTTCAGTGAGGTTAGATTTTACCATGAATAAAGTAGGACCAGCCACTGGACACTCTGAGAATTTATCTCAATTCACAAACAATTCTCTGCAAGGCAAACTGATCCCTATCTATCGAGTCATGGAAGTAGGCCCTAGGCATGATATCTAAAATTCAGATCTACTCTGTTTGTCCTCTCTGGGTAGGGGACAGACACCTGACACCAGCTAGGGCTTTCAGACCTTCAGCTTGGAATTACTTAAGAAATTAGAATGAGGCTCAGTCTTTTCTTGCAGTTGGACCTATACCAGGAAAATTTGAATTATCGTGTCTTTCACTAGGTAGACTGACAAGGAAAAAATGTGATTGGGAGAGAAAAAAGCAGTAATGAAAGGAGAATGAGCCCCTTCAGTGGCTTTTTAATCCCTTACCTAGTCTTGTTGTACTGCTGTATCTGGTTTCTATGAAATGCCTATGGATCTTTGAAATAAGGTTTTAAACAGCCGTTTTTGCTCAATGTAGATTTAGGTCATGTCTGTTAGTAATAAACAGTCTCAAAACAAAGATTTTCCCTAAGTCACAAAACCAGTGAGTAGCACAGAGTGAGAGGACCCTCAGGGCTCCTAACTGCTTATCTGTAGCTCCTTCCACAGCTCTCGTGCTGCCTCTCCTGTTCCTGGAGCCCTCCCAGATGCAGGACCCACGCACCTTACCACGGGGTAGACCCCAATTCCAGGTCATCAGATCTCAGAATTTGAGATGACAGCATTCTGCTTGGCTTCCAGCACATACAGATGTACTCTATCAGGATGCTCCTGATTCATTAAAATTCGACAAGAAGGGCACGCAGTCAGCTGCCATTCTCCTTGCTCATCACCTTTCCTGGTGTCAGCCACACCTCACTGCATTTGGCCGGGTTCTTGATGTGAGTGACATTAGCCAGGGCACAAATCTGGTAGCAACTGCTGAGGAGTGGGGAAAAAATCACACCCAAATTTATAAAAGGGAAAACAGAATCAGGGTGACACCCAGCTTGTCTTTCAGGTAGTCTGTGTTTTGGGGTTTGTATTTAGTATAGATAGAGGGCTCTATTTTTTAGGGTTTCTGATTTACCTTTACTGCACAGGGAACTCTTGACCCTGGATGGAGAGAACAGGACCAAAATCACAACTAGGGCACACAGATCAATGCTGCCCAAGATGACCACACTTACAGTTGTTGTCCTGGCATAGATTTTAGTAAAAGTTTTCTCTTTCAGATCTGTCCTGATTTTTGAGTTAAAGAATTCTATCATGCTGGCAATAGTCTCCATTTGATGGATCTTCTATTAGTGGTATTTACTGAGTACCTATTGTCCATGATCAGAGGTGAATGGTGGGGGTGTGTGTGTGTGTGTGTGTGTAGACAAAATTTTCATGGTGTCTGCCCTTCATGAGCTTCCGGTTTTGGGTTATGACAAGAGCCAACTAGAACTGTGAGTACAGAAGTAGTCTTCTGAATAGTGGGACCAGAGACATGCAGTCCAACTGGGTACTGTTTATATTCTTTTGAAAGCAGTGTATGCACTGATCAAGGAGAGAATTTCTGGAAACAGTACCATTTACTAGCACAGTGACTATGAGAAAATTCCCTCATCTTCCGAAGCCACTGGTTTCTTGCTATACAGGTAGATGATAACAGTCATCTTTCTTCTTGTTAGGGTTTGGTGAGGATTCACTGTTATGAATCCTCACACTGTATAGAAGGTGGTTAACATAGTCCCTAGTGGAAACTAAAAGGTGTGATCAAAATATATATGAATGTTTAAGTTTTAAAACAATATTACAATAGAACACACATTGCCATTAGTCCTCCTCACTTGGAACACAGTCATTGCATCTGGAAGTGTCCTTTGTGTCTTTGAGGTATGGTAAAAATTATGGTAAATACTGCTGCTGAGTGCATGCAATAAAAAGGAAGGCTCATAAAAACATTACGGTCTGTACTTGTCCACTGGATCTGGCACCGTGAGACTTCTGGCTCTTCACCCAAGTCAAAATGACCTCAAAAGTAAACATTTTGAATCGATTTAGGTCATCGAGGCAGCTCCAACAGTGCAACTAAGGACGTGCAAGAAAGAACTACAGAAATACTTCAGAAAGTGTCAAGAACAATAGATTAAATGTGTTTGAGGCAAAGGCATTTTCCGTATGATTAAAGCCAATGTCTTTTATTGTAATAATTTAAAAAAACATTTAAACATTCACTACATTTTTTATCACCCTTCATAAGAACTCATTAAATGGAAGCTGTGAAGCAATCAGTTGCAACAGATCCTTACTGGATTAGAACTCTTTGGAATAAGCCCTTCTCTCTGTCATCCAAACTTTTGTGACATGTTAGATGGGGCTCATCAAAGAATCCCTCTATTGGAAGAGCTGGTATTACTACCAAGCCCAAATTCCCTACCACTCACTGCTAGATGGTTAGGAGGTAAACAACATTCCTCAGAATCATTCATCTCATTTCTTCTCGACAGTTTCAGATAGAGTTGTGACAGCAAGGCAGACTGTGTGCTTTGGGCCCAGGAGAACAGATGGTGTCAGGAAAATCTAGCATGTGATAGAAAAACATGGTATGGTCCTATCTAGCTTAGGGAGGGGCAGGAACACAGTGTGCTCAATATCTTCTCCTCCAAGTACAAGGGTGGAAAGAGAAAAGATAGAGTGGTGTAGCAACAGCAGACTCCTTGGTGGACAGGTCTAGACTGATGCTTTTCTGGAATTTTTTTCCCTTGACCTCAAAAATGCTACATTTTGCTCAGTGCTGTCTGAGCACGTGTTTCTCGGAGGTATACTAGGAATTCTTTTCATGAGTTGACTGAAAAATTTTGGGGTTTGGTCAAAGAATGTGGACACCTCAAACGAAAGAAAAAAAGCCAAATAACTATTCAAACTACCATTCTGTATCAATAACATTGAATTTCTTGAACCTCATATTGCAGATCACAGCTCAAAGCTGTAGGAGCAGGATCGCGGGAAGGGTTTACAGTTGCACTGTGTCATAGTTGTTCCGATCATCTCCATTTTGCTTATAAGGAAACTAGTTTAAAGGGGACTGGTAGTCCCCTACCACAAGAAAAATAGGCCTTTAACTTGGGAAGGTGTGGTTCTAGATTGTATGCTCTCCATCACTACTTTGTATGCACTGATTAACTTGCTCCAAAAACAATAAATCATAGAATTAAATAAGCAAAGACTATTTGATGATCATTGTCTTTAATGATGGAATGACATTTATTGGCATGGGAATTTAAAAAGGGAATTGAAATGTGTCCTGTACATGTACCAATTCCCTGCAGTGAAAGTATTCGTTATGTACTTCAAACACGTACTGATACAGATAAAACCACAAAAAAAAGAACAAACAACAACAAAATATTGTAAAAGAGGAGCACATTTTTGGTTCAACTGAAATTTCCTCCCAATTTTTTTTTGGTACCAGGGATCGAACTCAGGTCCTTGTGCTTGCGAGGCAGGTGGCGGAACCACTGAGCTAAATCCCCGACCCTCAATTTGAATGATGGAGACCTTGCAGTCGGATAGCTAGTCTGCTTTCATAAGGAATATCTTTTATTTTTCTTCCAGAAAGTATTAGAAGAATTTCATAATGTCAAAATGCTACAAAGGTTTTCCTGATTTTGAACGTACAATGGTATCATGTTAGTCTAACTGGGAGAAAGGAAGCGGGTTGTACTGGGTAACCCTGGATCCTTGTTTTCTCTTCTGTTTGGATGATTTCTATATGCTACGCTCTGGACACAGATCTATGACAACACAAAGGTGAGGAAAATAGGCACAATATCTAGCCTCATAGAGATTATCAGTTTGCTTTTCCCTAAGGGAATAAAAGGATCACAGAACCTTGCCCTAGTCAGTAGAATGTGTTAACTGCATTCACACTCATCCTTATTGAAAATTTAGTGCTTTGTATGAACTTCTAAATACATTCATATACCGTCTTGCCGTAAAGCCACAGAAACATCAGTAATGCAGTGTTTAATAGCTGACTGTCTTGACTCAGAAAGATAAGAGGGTTGCAGCTTTACTAAGTGGCCTAGAGTAAGTTGTTACATTTCTTCTACCTTATTCAATAATTTAGAAAATGACCCTCTGCCCTTTCATCTCTGCAGGCAAGCTGCAGATACAAAGTCATGTTCCCCGTGAAGATGCATCTATCCCAGAGTTGAAAAGCATCTGGAATCAGAATCCTCCGAAGAGCTGGTTTTGAAGAATAATACTGTCTCCTTTTCCTGACTATTTGGGTGAGCCTCCTAATTTTCTGTCAAGTGGGAATGCCATTCTAAGTTCTGCCTATCTTGCTAGGATCCAGTGAGGAGGATGTGACAATTCTCTGTGGATTTAAGGGTTTCTAGTCAGACACGGCTTAAATCTGAGTCACTTAGCTGATGATATACAGGGAATTTTCTGTCTCAGGTTGTGTGCTTCTACGTCTTGCAATATTAGGTGAGTTTTTATGGGTTGTATGGAGCAACAAGATGGTGATGTGAGTTACTCTCTGAATTCACATTCTTATACAGTTTTTGACGACTAACCAAGTAGAAATGTATACATAGTCATTGTTAGTGAAGGAGAAGTCTGTGCAATGAAATGAGGCAACCCTCAAGCTTCTGTCCCTCCTCACTGTTCCAGGAGAGGTGTCCATGGCCCTTAGCACCAAGTCCCCAAGCCAACCTTCAGATTACAGCATATGCTCAGCAGGGCGTTGTTCCCTTGTCAACAGCGAGCATTAATACAGCAGTTGGATTGGAAGGAACAGCCTTTGTCTATTAGGGAGCCTGCAGAGCTTGGTTGCTAGGCAACCCAGTCTGGAGGCAGCAAGCAGTGCACGTACCAGGAGGGAATGGGGCGGGGGGAGTGTCTGAGAAAGGAGGAGACTGTTTCAGCATCAGCTGAGGCAGGAGAGAAAAAAGCAATTGTACTGTAAAGAAGCAGTGCCTACGTGGAATGAAGTTGCACATTTTAGCATCAAGGTGCTGGATGCCAGAACTCACAGATAACTGAACTATCATCTGGAAAATTGTATGACCTTGAGTGGGGGATTTTCTCTAGCCTCAGTTCTGTGACAGTCACAAAAATCAAAGAACCAGTACAAGCAACTGAAGAGCCAGTACATGTGGTGCAGCCAACACAAATACACACGTCCCCTTAAATCAGAGAGGCACCGAGTCTGATCTTTTCATATACTGTATTGTCATGAAAAAACAGAAAAGAATGTCTTATGAACTCTGGAGTAAATGGTTTTGAGGCTTCCTTAAACTTAATTTTTTACTCATAAATACACTTAAATATTTATACCACTAAGAACATACAAAATACAGGTATGGAGGAAGTTATCCTTTGTATAGCAAAGCTTTTTATAACTTTTCCATCCCCAGATATATTCCCCATTAGCCTCTCAGCACATCTGAAAGACGTACTTTTGGGAGATTAAGGTGTACTATTCTGGCAACTGGAAGCATGGATATACCAAGTCAGTATTCACTAATTTTCAGCTTACGTCTGACCGTTAATTTGAACTCTAAGGAATGAGATACTTCTCAGTGATATTTGCTGTAGACAGACATGGAGGGTTGAATATTGGGGTGAGATTGGCACTTGCAGGCCTGTGAGAATTGAGACATTACAGAGAAAAGGTAAGAAATTATAAGATCTGCACATCGGTAGGTAGAAATTTGACGCAGGACTTTATCACTTGTTTTAGCTGTGAACCTTGCCAATATTACCTGAATTTTTTGATACACAGTGTTCTCATAAGTACATGGGAACCATGATAGCATTTACATAGAAGAGCTGCCATGAGGTCTATATGAAATAATATAGAAGATCTACCTAGCATCGGGCCTCACATATTTGTAGCATTGATGATTGCTGATGAGCTGATCAGTGTAGGTATGTGGGCTAGTGTCACTGAATAAAACTGAGTGATATGGTAAGCATGCACATGCACATGTACACCTGCATACACACACACACACACAAACGCGCGCGCACACAGGAAGATAAAAGCAGCAGAGAAACCCAGCTCTGGGGAAGATGCTGGCATGGAAGAGTGCTGTAGCTGATGTGGGGAGCCCAAGTTTGTGCGAAGATCCAGGTCGTCACCAGAGACTGGATATTCTCTGAATCACGGTCACAGCTGAGAGATGACCCCAAAGAGTGCCAAAGACTGCCTCCCAGGCAGCAAGAGTTGTGCACACTGCAGGCAGTCCGTGAGACAGCTCCAAATCCAGAATGCTTCCACCAACAGACAGCACCTCACCTCTCTGAGTGTCCTTAGGACTTTTTATTCTTGGGTCTATGTCTCTTTGCTGAGTACCTCCCTCTCTTCAAGACCACATTTGCAGATTTGTTGCTATGGCACAGGCCTTGCTGTAAACAGAGCATGACCTTTCTCTCTCTGAGCTCCCATTTCCTCACCAGTAACAAGAAAGGGGTGTCCTGGACGATCTCTAAATCTACCCAGCTCTGGTCTTTCATGCATTTTCTGATGTATTTCTTAAGTGTTGTAACTTTCCATCATTCACCAGATTTTATTGAGTGCCAACAGGCTGGCAGGCCCTGACACAGGCACTGAAGATACATGCACTGGTAAGTAAGGTGGCAAAACCTTCTCAGGAGGCTCGCAATGGTAGGAGATGGACAGTAGTCGGGAAAGAAGAATGGGTATTTCACATGATGACTGTAGAGTCTGCTCTGTGGTGATGAAACACAATACTTCAGGTCTTCAGTCTGGGGCACCCAAGTCTGAAGGGCTGGCACTTGGTCAGGGGCTTCTTCTAGGCCATGCTGCGGTGAATGGATGATCAAAGCTGGCCGAGCAGGAGGGCAAGGCCGCAGGAAAGTACAAGAGAACGAAGGAGCCCCTGCTCATCTTGTCATCAGGAGCCCTCACCCGTAATAATGAGCCACTCTCATGGTAACAGTGTTAATATATTCATCAGGGCAGAGCCCTCCCAGCCCAGGCAGTGATGGGGCCCGCCTCCTGCCACGGCTGGACTGGGGGCACATTCAACCCACAACAGTCGTGAATGCTATGCAGTACATGAAAACAAAGAGGGACTGTTTCCTTAGAGCATAACGGCCGCCCAAAGTATACCCCCTTACAACGACGATTTGCTAATTTTCATATTCTCTGGGTTGACTGGACTCAGCTGAGCAGTCCTCTTCCTCTGTGTGCTACAGTCAAAGGTATTCAAGCTACTGCATTTGGAGCAGCACTGGTTAGAAGATGGGCTGAGGATATCAGATCATGTACATGGTCTCGTAGGCTATACAGCAAGTTTCTAGAGTCTTTTTTTCTACAGGCACTGTGACACAATTACCATGTTTAAGAAACAGAGGGAAGTCATATGGTTTATATGAGAAAAACAAAAGGCAGACTTCTTAAAAAGGAAGGATGTTAAGAAAACTGGCCCAGTCTTTAGTCAGAAAAATTAAAAAGGGTTCATGTTCCACCGAGAAGGCTAAATGACAGCAACCAGATGCAATGTGTTATCCTAGAGTGGAAGAAAATAGCTGCAAAGACATTTGAGAATAATTAAAGAATTTAAAACGTACAGAAATGGAGAAGTAATATTACCCACTGGGAAAAAAGTTACAAAATAGCAAGGATAATTTGCTTTCACGTTTGTTTAAAAAAATCATAAATGTATACAGTATGTGCATGCAAAAGATATCCTGTTAAAGTCTTACTCTTACTGGTGATCTCTGAGTGTTAGATTGTGATGTTTTCATTTGGTTAGAAATAATGCGTGTTGGGCCAGGGATTTAGCTCAATGGTTCTGCTGCCTGCCTCGCAAGTGCAAGGTCCCGAGTTCAATTCCCTGGTACCAAAAAAAAAAAAAAAAGAATGAGTGTGGAAAGGAGACAGTAATGAAAATTAGGAGAACAAGTAGGAAGCTCTTACAGATGAGAAAAATAGTCACCTTCAAAAGTTAATTGCACTGGGCTTGTCCCAATGAGTAGATATAGAGGGAATATTTTAGAAGTACAGAGATACAGAGGTGGGGACATACTGATGAATTAGCTGTTGTAGAAGAGGTAAGAGTAATTAAAATGACTTATTTTAGGCTAGAGAAATAGATGGAAATTGACATTCTGAGATGAGGAAGAGCAGGTAGGTGTGGCTTGAGTGCCTTTCTGAGAGAAGGGATGAGAAGTAAAAACATACTCTAAGAACAGGTGACTCAGAGGGGGATGTACCACTTGAAGTTTCTCATCATGACTGTTCCTATTGGCCCTTAGAGTTCTATTCAGGTCAAACGTTCTGAAGCGCATTAAAAGGAAAGTGTGGCTAAGCAGAGGCTAGACAAATAAAGACATTTCCTGAGCAGTTCTCCTGGGAGGCTAGGTAGAACATAAATAATAAGGCATAGGACACTCTTCGGCCTAATGGTTGCCTTCTTAATAGGAAGGCAGTACCAACACTTTTTTCTTTTTCCAACACTTTTGATGGTACAGAGAAGTAATCCAACTGCTTACCAGCCTGTGGGAGGACAAAATGAAGTGTAGAAGTTACTATGCCAGACAGTGAATTCTGATACTTTGGAGAAGGATTATCAATGTAAATAATCACTGACACATGACAAGATAGTTTTACTAGCCTCTCTCAATTACAGCATCTGAAATCTTCAGTTCACACAAACTCATATTACCTACCTAAAGATGGATTTATTGTGATAAAATACAACTTTGTAGATGACATGGAAGAGCCGCCTGCCTGAAATTAAAGTGATGTGACTTTTATGTTAAAAACAATAAGAAAAGTTTCCGTTAGATGTAAACAAGAATTTCCAGAGTAGTAAGTCAAGACTATAGCAGGTAACTCTTTAAGAAGCTTCCACTGTTTGAGACTATTTCCTAATTTGTGATACCATGGCCAAGTTTGTAAAGCAGAAATAAGTAGATTCTTGAAAGGCAGCTCCATCCAGTGTATTTTGTTTTAGCCTGGTCCATAACCAGTCTATCCAGATGCTTCCCAGCTGAGTCATTCCAGATGGTTCTGTGAAACAGCCAAACTAAGCATTTGAGATGTGCTACAAATTTGGATACTGGAGATCTCAGACTCCTCACAAAATAAGAAATCTGAGATGTCAATTCTAGAAGTTTAGGGACTGCAGAATTAGAGCAAAATGTCAGATTGTAAGCAGGTGTGGATCTTAAAGGAAAAACAATTCCCAACCTTCAACTAAAGTGAGGTATTTAACATAGTTTCTTCATTAATGTCCGTCCAATTTTTATA